AGTTCTCTCCAGCGCTGGAAAGCTGATCCGAAATTTACACGGGTCCTACTTCTTGCCTTATCGTAAGCCTTCTTTTGTTCCGCAGACGTTTTCCTCTTGTGTTTGTTTTGAGACTCGGCCCGACTCAGTTTTCTAAAGCGTTTTTGAAGAAAATGCATACCCCACCTCTAAAAGAGACCAAACATCTGTTTATGAAAAATGTGCAAAAATACTATTTTCACTTTTTTTTTTTTTTTAATAAAACATATATTTTCTAAAACATGTTTTACTCTAAAACTGTGAAAAAATAAACCTGAAATGAATTAAAGCCATAAATAAACAAGTTGTGTTCCAAATTTGAGGTTGATATCTCGAACTGACTCGAGAGCACCATCTATATTGTTCATTTAATTTGTAGCTTAATTAGTATGCTGTGTTTTAGTTATTAGACATGTTTTCACCATACAACCTCTCAACCCTTTCTTAGTAGCCACCATGTTGGAAATGCTGTCAAATGATGCTATTCACTGAAGTCAGAATGAGTTGGAATCAGTCGGGCCCCAAGTCTGATGTCTGATTTCAAAGGATCATAGTTTCAGTGGTTATTTTCAGATTGGAGGTGCTAGATTTAAATTTAATGGTAATATGAACAGCTAACCAATCAGCAAGTCCATTTTGAACACATGTAGTTTTGCACATCCCTATTTCCCTTTCCCTAGCAACCACTCAGAACACCCTATAAAGCACTCATAGCATCTTAACAAACACGTCACACCGTCCTTGCAAGCTTTGCGCAGACAAAACAAATGTTTATATAATATTATGTATCGAGCAGGGAAAATTTTTAACTGCAATTGCTTTCTTTTAATAGATGGCTGGGATAATTTTTCACATCCCTACAGTAAAAAAGACTTTGGGAAATGGGAGCTGCACATACCCCCAAAAGAGGACAAGACACCTGCTGTCGCTCATAACTCCAAGCTGAAGGTGAGCAGACGCGTTAGCTGGTTTGTTTACTTCATTAACCTGAATGAGGCGCTGAGGTATTATGAAGGCTTTATGCGCTGTCAAGATAGCTTTAATATTCAGCCGTTTTATGGATGGCGTGTTAATGTTAAAGATACAGCAACAGCTGTGACTTTCAAGCCATTTGATGCTCTTCAACAGCATATGTTTTTAATAACGCCGCTCCAATTTGGAGCTTCACACCCATGAGGTTTAAAACACTGAGCTTTAATTTTAAACAGATTGAATTGGGTCCTGTGGGATTGGTTGGACTCTTCACTCAGTTCAAGATTGTACATTCAATTAAAGTCAACAAGCTGAATGGACTTTATTTACTTTAACACACATTCTTGATATTATTGTGAACGATTCATCCATGCATGTTATTCTTGCATCAAAACTTGCTCTGCTGCTTTCTGTCATTTACAGGCCACACTGGCAACTTAATTGGGTCATTTGGGGTCTTTTGATTGAAATAATGTATTGGTAAATATTGAAATTACTGTAACATTACCTCACATTAGGTCGATTTGTCATTGGTAGTTCATGTTACAGATATACTTCACCCAAGAGTGAAAATTGTCTTCATTTTCTCACCTTCGAAATCATGAGACTTTGGTTAAAGTTTGAAACACAAATTAAGTTATGTGTAATAAAACCTGAGTTTCTGTCTCTCTGTTGAATGTCTAGGTAACCAATTTAAATCTGTTCATCTTCATCATAATAAGCAGTAGCATCTTTTCACAAGACTTGGATTAAACCGCTGGATTCATATGGATTCAATTTACACTGCCTTTATAACCTTCTGGATCTTATAAGTTTTGGTTCCCTGGACTTTCAATAGAGGGACAGAAACATCTCAGGTTTCAATAAAAATCTCCATTTGTGTTTTGAAGATTAATCAAAGTCTCATGAAGGTGAGTAAATTATGACAGAATTTTCATTTTTGGGTGAACTATCTCTTTAACTAATGTAATTAATACATTTTTCCAAATGGAACCTGAAGAACCTTAAAGGGATCATTATACACAACCTCCACTTGTTACACACCTGTATGAATTTCTGTTGAGCACAAAATAAGATATTTTGACAAATGTTGGTAACCAAACAGTTGACGGTAGCCATTGGCGTCCATAGTATGGAAAAACATTATATGGAATTCAGTGGCTACTGTCAACTGTTTGGTTGTTAAAAAAATCTTTAAAAAATCTGGTTTAAAACACATGTGCCAAGTTCTTAGAAATGTACACTTTGTTGTTTTCATATGATTTTTAAAAACCTTTATACCATTTTCAAGAATACTTTACACTTATTTACTCTAGAAATGTCATATGGCTTAACCATCAAGTGAAATTAACATATTTTCCTTGAAAACACGTGAGTGTACATCATAATCATTTTCAAAAATGTTTTTAAATATAATTTCAAAGGTAAGTTTTTTTTTATTTTTTTTTAGCTAATATATAAATGTTTGTAAATATTTTATTATATCTTTTCATGTGACAACACTGAAGAAATTACACTTTGCTACAATGTAAAGTAGTGAGTGTACAGCTTGTATAACAGTGTAAATTTGCTGTCCCCTCAAAATAACTCAACACACAGCCATTAATGTCTAAACCGCTGGCCACAAAAGTGAGTACACCCCTAAATGAAAATGTCCATATTGGGCCCAAA